ATATATATATATATATATATATATATATATATATATGTATATACCTATGTACGTGCATACATATCTATCTATTTACGTACATTCGAACAACGAGTTTCAATTTCATTCTCTCCCATTCGGATCGTTAAATTTGACGAAACGGCAAAATGTAAACATCCCTTTCGAATAAACGTTTGAAAAATGACTATTTGCTCGGCCCATTTACGAAATATACGAAAACGTGGAAAAGCAAAGGGCACTCGTTAATGACGTTCGACGAAACGTAAACGAAAAATTGGTTACACTCTGCAGTGTTCTCTGAATACATTCGTAAGAGAAAATTATTATTTGCGACAAAACGAAAATATCGATCATGTCGATATGTGTTATCGATTAAACGAAATATGAATAACTTTTTTATTTCTCAACTTTGATGATCGATTTTACTGCTATTATTATTATATCTACTTATGTTAATTTTAATTTCTAATTTTAAAAGAGAGAGAGAGAGAGAGAGAGAGAGAGAGAACATTTGAACACACAAATGAAATCTCCCGATCGCTTTATTGTAATACAAATATAAAAAGAGTCTAGTAAGAGGAACACGATTCACTGGACCGAGCTTTTATTCTTTCATAAAGGAATGCAGTGCATTCAACCTCTATTGACCGCAACTGACAAAGAATACTTCGTACATTGCTCAATTGATAGGTTCAAAGGCGATACTCGAATGAAGATCTACGAGTCAGGGTGCGAAGGTTTCGTCGGCTGTCACCTCGAGAGAAAAAGAGAGAAAGAGTTAATGTACACTATACTGTACATATAAATTGTATAAAGTTTCAGATAAACGAACGATAAAGTAGATCTCTTCAATGTTTACGTTCTCATAGAATTATTTTTTTCTTTTCTTTTTATTCTTGTTCATTTTTATCTCTTACATTCTCAGGATCGATTTAATCGAATGCTAAGAATAAGGTCGATGATCTTTTAAAGAGTATTCACATGTGAAATATTAAACAATCATACTATTGAAGAAGTATTATAAGTCAAGGAATTATCAGTGATATTTATCTTTTCCCGATTAACAGTCTATCATCACCGTGGAAATTAATACGAACATTGAACATAACTAATATATCGTGTATTATACTAACTGATTACTTATTATCACATCGAGTATTTCGAAAATGTATATAATTGTATAGTTAACGATTCGTAAACAACATGTTGTCAACAGATGTGCCTTCATAATTAAATTTCATTGATTCTGAATTCATTTCTGAACGATTTAATTAACAATACATACGTATCTACATCTCCTTGTGATATATATCTAATGCTATTCGATGTGTTATCCTAGTTTTTTTTTTTCTTTTTCTTTTTATTAAACATCATTGTAACAGAAATGCTAGCAATATAATAGAAAGTCACATTAAACCATCTCTTATTCGAGAGCGTAGAAGCATATAAAACTATTACAAACAATGTAGGTATCTTTATTCGAATATTTCTTTGTTGTCTGTAAAATCGATGGGAAATATCGAATCGTACAAGTTCATCGAGCCTTTGACTATTCATCCGTGCATGAGCAGTCGAATCTATTCGGTTAAATGAACGAATTTACCCTTGAACAGCGTCTCGCTTATTCTCTCTCTCTCTCTCTCTCTCTCTCTCTCTCATTCCCTCTCTTTCTCTTTCGACGATGGTTAATTAACGAATTTAGACGATAAAAGTATTCCGAATATTTCTAAAGTTTGATATATATAATCGAGTGAACGAGATACCCCTGTAAGAGTAAAAGAAATATATTACCTATAACGCGAACGAATTTAATTAGTTCATTATAAATTTTACTGGACGAATCATCGTGAGTTAAAACTACGTACGATAGACGATATAAAAATAAACTTAATTAACGCTAAACTGTGACGCGTTGGTCTATTCTAATAACGCGTCGGGACGTAATGAAAAATAAAAGACATCATGTATTTACTATTTAAAAATAAGACATCTCTCCGATAAGGATGACAAATCCTACCTATCGACATTCGATAGAAACTTTAAAAATGCTTCAAAAGATGTCCAACGTCAAATACTTCGACTCTCCAAATGAACAAATTGAGTTAACCGTTTGAGCTTTATATTTTCTGACAGCAACATAACAAGTCTGATACCTATTGCCTTTCGCAATGTAGAAGTCTTAAAAGTTGTTTTCTCTGTTTCATTAAACGACGTAGCTAAATGAAAGAGATCGATTCGGTTGACGTTTCAATATACTATACTCTAAAAGAGAATTACCTAAAGGAAGTGCTTATTAATTCATCTAATTAGCGAGGTAAAAAGAGATTGAAAATATTAAAATCGACAAAATAAAAAGAAGAAATCAACGTACGCACACATGTATATATATCTTTATACGAGTTCGCGATTGCATACGAACTTGCGTGTATGTATGTGTATGTAGATAGATAAACGCGGAAAGTAAGAAAAAGATAGAAATACAGAGAAATAGAGAAAGAAAGGAAAAAAAAACGAAAAGGGACGCGCGATAAAACGCGAAAAGCACGAAGTTGCAGGAGCGGACAGAAGGCAAACCTTTCGAACACACCCCCTGCGCCGTTGATTCTCGCGCCTCCGTCATCCCTCTCTCTCACACACACCTGAAGGTAGTATATTCATAGGAGTGTTGGAGGGCGCGTGCGCATGCGCTCGCGAACCCCACGCACGCACGTACGTACGCACGCACGCAAGAATAGCGGAGCAGGGGCACACACGCCCTCGCGCGCTCACGTTACTCACTTGCCGATAATCTCGCAGAGCTCGTAAACTTCGTCGAAGAGAACCTCGTCGTCCGCCATAATGATAACCAAAATGTATAAAGGAGAGTCGACTGGCTGAATATAACTTAGTCGTTTTCTCTAGGAGAAACGACGGTAAAATCAGCTACGACGACAACAAATCGTACGAAAGATGGATTATTATTCGTAAAGCGCGCGTATATGCGCTGCTCTTGTTAAACGACGTCGTCGTCGCCGTCGTCGTCGTCGTCGTCGTCGTGATCGTTGTTGTTGTTGTTGTTGCTGCTGCTGATGTGTTGTTATTATTATTGTTGTTGTTGTTGTTGTCGTCGTTTCCGTCGTCGTCGTTTCCGTCGGTTGTGGTGGTGTTGTTGTCGTCTCGTTGATTTTCTTCGATGCTCGCTTCTATATTTTTGTATTATTCTTGGCTTTTCGACAAATAACAAGATTTTCCGAACAGAGAGAAAGAGAGAGAGAGAAAAAAAACCACCGGGTCGGAGCGAGACGGAAAGTACGGCGTGAACGTAGTCTCGTATACCGTCTTCACGTCCGTCTATGTAGACGCCTCTCTCGCTCTATCACGTATTCCGTGCCGGTTAGCCCGCTCCTTTTTCTTTTTCTCTCTCTCTCTCTCTCTTCTCCACTCTACTCTTCTCTTTCTCTTTCTCTTCCTCTTCCTCTTCCTCTTCCTCACGCACACGTCACACGACGCGGACGAGAACGACACACGTATACGCGGCGGGATTAGATAGTGCGAAGCACAGAGAAGTAGTCGTGGCTATAATGCAGCCGCGTTGACACATCGGGATTCTTGTCGTATATCGCTAGTTCACGGGCTCGTTCCACGAGATCATTTACGGAGACCTTTGAGGAAAATCTTAGGCTAACGTTTCTCTCTCCGTCGGTAGAGAAGAAGGGAGAAGAAGAATGTGTGTCTCGTTCCCAAATACGTTCGTCTTTTGGTCTTCGGAGAGAATATATATCTATAACCCTTTCAGATCTAGCGGAAACACAACACCGACACCGCCTTTCTACGACCTTGCCTTCCTTTAGCTCCTGGTGTTTTCAAGCTACTCGCTCGACGATCTGCTCGTTCCTTCTTCCTCGTACGTTTCGCCTACGTTCTTAGCACCTTCTTCACTGTCGATATATATATACATATGTATATATATATATATATATATATATATATATATATATATCGTATCTCGTATTCGTAATGCGTTAGAACGCGCGGATACTATAACGCTGTCTCTCTACACAAGGGGCACAGCTCACAGAATATAGTTCTTCGGAACTCGATAAGGATATTTCACAAGTGCTAGGTTTTTCTTCAAATGATTATCGCCGGAAACGCGACTCGTACGTGCTCGAATCGGACGGAGCGTAGTCAATTCCCCGATCTCGAGATACGGTATAGGAGTTGGTACGAGAACCGCACGCGCTTCCCCGTCTGTCAAAGGAGACCGGGGTAGTAGATTCGTTCGCTCCGAAGCACGACTGGTTGCATAAAACGCGGCGGGCGGCTGCGCCGAACAACTGACTCCCTCTTTTACCCCTTCCCTCTTCAACGACCATCGACGAGGCGAGTAGCTTTCGCAGAGCATGGAGGGGCGGGCGTGGCGCCTCTTCTTCGCCTGTGGATAGCCTTTTGCATCTTGCAACGACAGCTCCTTTCTTCCTCGTCTTTTCTTATTCTTATTATACTACCATTATTATTACTGCTTTATATATTTCATTTGTTTGCCTTTATATTTTCAATATCTTTTTTCTTTTTCTATCTCCTACGAACGATTATAATTAAATTCTAATCAATTTTATTTGATATTTTTGATTGGTAGTTTTTAAGATACTCGGATGATAAAATCTAATATATTTTTCGAAAGGTTTAACACATCGGTAATTCATAAGTTTTTAACTGAAATTGTATTTTTTAGTATCATCCTCAATGTGCTACGTTTATCTTCTCGGTATGCTACGTTACAAGAATGAGTGACATATTTTTTTAATTAGTTAGAATACAGAAGCAGATTGCATGAAGAATTTAACTACCTGTTCCACTGATACATAGAATCAATGTGGATTAGCATGTAAGGATATCGGCGGTCGATGCGTCATTGCATTATAAATATTTATGTAATATGAACATTAAGTTAGTAAATTTCAATTCTTGCACTATTAGTATTTTGTTCTATTAACTGATAAAAATGTTCTTTGAATTATTACAATAGATTTCTAATAAGTGCAATAAATAAAAAATATAATGTGTGCATTTCATCGTAAAGTACACATGAAAAATATTTGTACAAACGCATACATACATATGTATTTCTAATAGGTGATTTTTATTGTACCGTAAGGTATTAGTGCTTCAAAAAATTCTTGTATATCTTCCTGCATTCCAAATACTGTTAAGACTACAATTTCTTTTCCATTTGACCATCGTTCGTAGAGCTTATGCAAGTCGAGAGCAAAATATTTGGTTTTGTTGTAAAGATATTTTAAATGCTTATTATTAATTCCCTCCAAAATGACTATCTTCTCTCTACGAATAAAGTTTGAAAAGTTTAAGAAATATAACTCTATCGTATATCATATATTAATATGCAAATATTGCTAACCCGGATTGTCTCCATTTATCCAAGTAATAACCCGTTATGCTATTAGAATCCAATCTGCTATGCAGTGCTATCAAACCACGTGCTATCTAGAAATAAAAATATATTTTTTAATTATACATATATATTATACACGATTAAAAGATTATGATTATTTATACAAGGAGATTATCGAATATATTAGAACAAAGAAAACAGATATTCTATTTCTACCAAAGCTGTAGCGGTTCCTTGATCCCTGTTACAACTCATATTCAGGATAGAATAAAAAACGTATTCTAAAGGTCCAATATTATTAACATTAAATCTTGTTTTAATTTTTTTACGCTTTGACTTAGATAGAACCTTCTTCTTATTACATACTTTATATATCTTCTTCCTAAAATTTTAGCACGAGTGAATTTCTTCATACATATTTTTATATCAAATTTATCTAAAATAATTATGAGACGGTGCCAAGTTTCATTGTTCTAATATTATCTCCTTTGATAGTTGTTTATCCATATCAATAAAAATATGACTAATGTTTTAAAATACAATCAAACCTTCTTCGCAGATCAATTTGGAAATTGTTATTTTGACTACATTCTTGCTTAGAATAATCTTTGAGTTGATGCATCAAAACCAAAGCTTCCTGGCTCGAACACTGTTTTAGAACTTTTTTCCTTGACATCTTGTGATTTTTAATTCTGCTAATATAACAAAAATTTTTATTCATGTTATGCTTTATAAAACTATTCTATTCTTCATACTGTTTGACATAAAAGATTTATATAGTTTTAAAGGTTAAGTTAGAATTTAAAACTATAGTAACAAGTATTCTAACTTTATAATTGATCATAAATACATATTTGTTCTACGATAATAAAATATCTCCTAAAACAAACGTTCACAATGTACCATTTGTACGTGAAATCAATGATATAAACTGTAATTTATATAATATTAAATTGCAATAAAGATCTTCCAGCAAATATGTAACCTAGACTGTAGATACAATAGCCGGTACACTTAACAAAAAAAAATAATAAATAAGTGCTCTTAATTGGTCATTAAATTCTCTATCAAAATCCATAATTGCTCACTTTATTAATTAATTATTTATTTAGTTATTAATAATTGAAAATACAACAAATGTTTTTCTATTTCTAAGCAAAGCAACGAAGTTCGCAACATCAGAAAAAAATGAATAATTGTTCACTATTTGCTCAACTTTATTTTATCAAATATTTTTTATTTATCGTTAATTAGTTGAAAATAATTATTACACTTTGAATAATTATGAAATGGCGACGTATAGAATATGTTATATACATGGGCAACCACAAATTTAAGGCGCAAGCACACTTGGAAAAAAATGAAAGTAAAGTTGGTATACCTGCAGGGGATATATTTAAAGTTGATTTCCAAAGTAACAACCTATAACGTAGTGAAAAGAAATAAGTTAATCATTCATAATGTATAAACAATAGGTAAGTATTTTCATTTTATCATTTTTTTCTGCTGTTGCGATTCTATGCCAACTTTTTTATGGTGAAGTATATAGAAACTCACAAGTGACCTTTTTTATCTACCCAGCATCATTTTTGTTACCACTGGAACCACCAGTGGACGATAGTGAATAACATATTCTTTGATAGTATATATAGTATAGTTATATTGTAAGAAAATTTATGTGATATTCTTTTCAATGACAATTTCCCCCTCCGAAGTCACTACTGCACAGGAACGTTAAAACAAATTTACATTTATTCAAACAATTACATGAAAATTAAAAAAATGTAAAATCAGAACGTTATAATCTTAATTTCTATTTAATACAATTAATATTTTCGTTATAGACACATGCGCAACTTTCAGAAAGCCATATAAACAACTTTCGATAGAAAAAACTTTTTTATATGACAACGTCTCAGTTTAATAGAAGATTTCGAAGAGGAAGGTACATCARCAGGTACATCCTCAATTTTACGTTACAATATACATTTC